CCCAAAAAACTTTCATTTGGAATTTGTTTGTCGAGCCGCTTCTGCGATTTTTTCTCCCAAACCAAAACAACCAAATATGTTGAGTGTGGCTTAGTTTGAGCAGGAGATTTTGGCAGACTGCGATCCAATTCGTCATAAAAAAAAAAAAAATGGAAAACAAAGTGGAAGCCCAATGAAATGCTCAACTACTAGGATTAGACCCTCGTCTCATATTTTGTGGACTTTGGATTTTTCCGTCATCTCCTTTTTTTGCGGTTTCTCCTGGCCAAACACACTTTCGAGCTGCCTGCGAAAAACTTTTGCCGTAAAACTGTTCAAATATAAGTTGTTTTCAGAGGGCTTTCCCTTCCCTTCTCCTCCTCCTCTTTTTCCATGTGTGTGTGTGTGGAAAGTGAAGGGAAAAAAGCAGATAGCTTTGCTTGTGGTCGCCCTGGGCGATTTTTGGTGGAAAAGGCGAAAAGGAAAGGAAAGGAAAGGAAAAGCGAAAGGAAGGCGGGAAGTGCAAAGTGAAAGTTGGGCGAAAGTTTTTCAATTTGTTTATGCATCCAGCTCGCAGATGAGTGAATTATTGCATTAGAATTATGAGTTGGACTCGGCCAGGAGTTCAAGCCAATCCATCAAAACAAAACCGTTTTGGTTGGCCAAACAGCAGTTGAAATATTCATGCTAAAGCATTTCCTTCTGAATTTTAATGCGAGTTGGTTTAAAATGTAGGGCTTTAAACCTTAATTTTATTATACAAGTATGTATATTAATATGCGTGGGTTTTATATCATTTTCATTTATTTCAATTTTATTAACTTTAAGCTAGGTACTCAACCTTTGTTCATATATTCTTTTTTAAAATATTACATCTTTTGTTTTTTCTCTTTTATTTTCAATTTTAAAGCCCCCTAATTCACCTTTGTGGGAAAATGCTCATTCATTCGGTTGCCCATCAAGTCTGATGAATGTTTTTCCACCTTTTGCCGCGACGCAAAAAAAGAAGAAATGTATTAAATAATATTGAGTTTGATGGCAAATAAATAATTAATTTATTACGCGCGGCGGCTTTATTGACAAACAGAAAGCGAAACAGGAAGAGCGAATTGCAAATATAATGGCAATGTAGTCGGATATATTCGCATTATTCGGTTGGGCTTTTAAAATTATGAAATGACAGGCGGGCGATGATATTTCATTTATTTTCTACTGCCTGCTGCGGAAATGAGAAATGTGAAGGGAAATCAGCGGGGGGCGTTGGCTGCACAATTGAGGGCGGGGGTGGGAAAACCTGGAGGATGGGGATGCTGTTTGTTGGCGCTCTTGTTTCGTCATCGTCATCGGCCACTGACAATGATGGAGGAAGATTGATGCCTTTACTCGCCCCAAAATGAGCCCCCCAAACACCCACTACACACACATGTGTCTAACGGTGAATTCCGAATAATACAGATAGAAAAAAAACAGGATCAGTGGGAGATTGCCAACTCATGCTGTCAATATCTTCAATGTTGTGTAGGGAAAAAGTTGGAAAAGTCCTGTATAAGATTTTAAAGACTCTTCTGGAAGTATCGCGGAAGACTCTTCTGGAAGTGTATTTTGACTTACAATTTTTTGTTTAAATATTATTGTTTTTTATGAAACAATTTTGAAAGAAATTTTTCATTAAAAATCCCACCATTTTATTCCCAAATTATCTCCCTGTGCATGCATTAAATTTGCCAAAGTTTTCCCAATTTCCCAGTGTCATTCACGTTGAGCAAATTGTTGCACAGTCGCCACTTCGATTTGCACAAGCTTCCACTTTTTGTGGCACCTCCACATGATGGATCAGCGGCAATTGAAAGCAGTTGGCCAATTTAAGAGTGGGAAATAATTAACCATGTTTGCTGCGACTATTTTCGCTTAACAAACTCGTGAATTTTGTTAATCAAAATATAATAAATCGAACTATTTTCAGGTGGCATCGGCTGCTGTGCTTCTCATTCCCAGTATGCAATAAGGTTCGGTTTCAGAAAATACGAAAATATATATACATTTATATGTAGAAATATATTGATTTCACCTTTGTTTCTTTCTATTTACCCAAGTACGCATTTTATTAAAACGGTTTATTTTAATAGCTGAAATATTTCAATAAATGAACAAATGCCTGTTGTTTGTTTTTGTTAACTCTAATGAGACAAGTTTAATAATTGAACTTATTTGTTTACCCTTTTCACTTAAATATTTATTGAGCAATTGTTAGACTGCTATTAAGTTATCCTGCCAAATCAATTGCCTATTTTTAATGTTTCGGGACTTTTGAGTTAAGTTTTAGTAATAAATAATAATCATGCTATAAAAGGATGTAGCTAATGTATTAATTTTGAATCATCTGCTATTTTTAAGCAACTTTCCCGCTGCTCTTGAATGCAGTGAACATGTTTTTTAATTATTTAACCTGTTCTCCCCACAGACAGTCGCTTAACAACTCGAATGGTATGAAAGTTGTAAACGTGGCTTGCGAAAGTGTGTGCTTGTATTGCCATACTCACAGAGGGACAAACTCTCACCCACTTCCCACACACAGACACACACACAGACACACCCACACACACACACATACTGGCAGAGAGCCGTGACAAGAAAATGCAATTATGGAGCGAAATAAAACAATCAGTGGCAATCGCTTCGGGAAGCCCCTGGCCACAGCGGTCCGGTGCGAATTCGAATGTGAATTCGAGTCCGGTTGTCCGGAGTCCGGAGTCCGGAGAATCCTTGGTGGAAAGTCCTTGTTTGCTCGCTTCGTTCGAATGTCCTGTGGCTACGTTTTGGCCGCTCGCCAAATATTAATCACTTCAGTGGCAGTGGAAATCAATAATTAAAAGGCAGCGCGCACCAAAGGGGGAGAAGCGAGGGCAACGCAGCTGTTGCTGCCACGAATGCCACTTGTGCCACCGCACATTAAGCATACGCACCGTGGACCGTGGGAAAAAAGAAAAGAGAATGGAAAGCACTCCTCACCTTCTTGCTTGCCCCATTTGCAGGTGCACGAAAGTTATTAATGGTTTTTGGCGGCTTACGCAATTTGCGCTGCTATTAAAGCCGCACTGCCTTTTGTGGGCGGATGAGCTGTGTGTGCGGCAAGGACGCACGCGGCAGCAACATGCAACATGCGGCAGCAACATAATGCCACTGAGCGGCAGCAGCATCTGTTTGTCGCCCTGTTCGCGTGACTGCGAGGCTGGCTTAACTTTTCCAATGGCAAACGAGCCGCACGGCCAAGGACTCTCACACAACATTAACACACACCCCCACTACACACACACACTCACACACACCCACACAGATAAACAGCGTGGTGCGGAGAGTGTGGTCACCGCAGACATGTTCTTAATGAGAAATCCGAGTTCCAATCAGGCGTGGATTCGAAAACAAAGCAATTGCCAGCCGGGCAACACTTCAATGAAAATGCCGAGTATATAAATAAGTTCAATAGGTGCCAGAGAAATAATTTGTTTTTTTTTTAACCAAAGAACCTCCATAAACCGGCAAAAATTGTTTTAATTTATATTATTTTTTAATAAAACCTGAATTCATCATGTTCAGGTGTCTTTTATGTTTCTAGGCCTTCAAATGATTTACATGCCAGGTTTCTTATATTTGAAAAGTAAACTAATCCCAGTTTATGAATAATGCTGCGAAAATATGGAATATGTTTATAAACAAACAAACAAGGTAAGAGAAAGTCTGTGCCTCAATCCGATTTGGCAAACTCTGTTCCGTCGTTTGCACTTGCGGTTGAACTGAAATCAACTGAGATTTGATTTCCGATTGAACAACTGCGACTCTGCAACTGAGACGTGCAACCTGAAGGAATCCTGGGAATGCGGCATTTTTGTGCTTCCCAAGCTAAACCAATTGTACATATCTTTGGAATTCCTTGGTCGATTCGAACACACACACACATCAACTTGGATTTAGCCCTGTCATTGTTAACGTATTATTCACTCCCAACGCAATAATTCCCCGATTGTCGGACATGCCAAGGATTTGCATATACTCGTAAATGTGTTCCACTTGGCATTTCAGATTAAGAATGACCTATTGAGAAGGACTTCTGGCATTATAAGCAAAAGAAATTATCAACAGTTTGGTTGGAAAAACAATTCCATCATCACCAACTAATTGAGTGCAATAAATGGTTTATTTTTAAGCCTACAGCTTATTACTTATATGCTGAAATTAGGTTTCAAATGCAACAATTTTGTATCTTAAAGACACATTTTATATTTCCAGAAAATGTCCCCAAAAACCAGCACACTCACACACACACACACCACCATCGAAAAATATGTAAACTCATGTCATAATTGAATTTTCATTTCGGGCTTCATTTGGCCCCAGAGAGCCCGAAGCCAGGCGCTCAAACTGAATAATTACAATAAAATGCTAAATAAAAAACTAATTTCGTCACCCGAAATAAGGCCGAACAATGTACGCCAAGTCGCCGAGATTAAGATGGAGATTGAGATTGAGTCTGGTGGCTTACGACCTAAGCTCGCCTTATTGGAAACTCATTAAAAAGTTGTAAATATAAGACATTTCCCCCCGCAAAAGGAGGCCACTCAAAAGCTCATCAGCTTGGCTTCCAACTCCTTGGCTTCGATTGGAAAATTTTTCGGGTGAAGGAGGCAGGCTTTTTCTTACAAGCCCATAAAAATGTGGTAAGAACTTAAAAAGTCAGTTTAGTTGTTCTTTCCTGCAGAAATATAATCAGAGTTATATTGTTGGCTTTTGTAAGATGCTTATTTTGTCAGCAGTTTGAATATAATATGTATAATAATATAATACACTGTTTTTAGATTTTTTAGTACTATTTTTCAATATATAAAATTGTGTATATCAACCTCTTTTAAAAAACATCCAACAAGGTTTTGATTTGCGTATAAGAAATTTTTGTATAGTATTACAAGCAACTAACTTGTTGTAGTTATTTCAAATCGAATAAAATTTTTGTAAATAGTTTCTAGGTTTGGTGATCCCATTACCTTTCCAGTTTCCGTAGGATTTATTTTTTTGTTTTTAGGCAGGGACGGGGGAGCTGGGACTCCGGTAAGTAGAAAAATGGACTCCCGTCGAATGTCGAACCACAGGCGGGATAAGAGAAAAGCGCCGGGTTCCAATGATGGGGAAAGGCCGGGATCCGATGATTCGGGCAGCGACAGCGATACAAGTTATATGGAAAGATCAAGCAAAGTAATACCGGAGGATCCCTCACTTCTGCGAATTGTTATCATGGCAGATCCTGTGGGTTAACTAAATATTGTCAAGAATTTTTGGTTTGATTTAAGCCTATATCCCCTTTTTAATTAGGAGGTTACCCTGGGATTTCTTTTGGCCGGCGTTGGTTATCAAAAAGACAGATTTCGCAGCTATATGATGGTGGAAGCCGGTAAGTTTAGTTCAATTTTCTATCTGGCTAACCTAACTAACTCATTTTTCCTTGAACAGAAACATTACAGGAGGACATCGAGCATTTCTTTCTGACTGCCTACAGAAGATCCAACATTGGAATCATCATCGTTGATTACGAGACGGCCAAAAGACTGAAGAATGTGATGCAGCGATGCCACCAAGTGCTTCCCATTTTGATCACAGTTCCCAACAAGTCCTCACTGACCACCTATTTGGACAAAAAGGAGCGCAACCGGCGACTTCGCCAACGGGATGCTTACTAGGCTGCAACAGGATTTGGATTTAATACAGATCCCTTAATCTGTTACAAATTTGCATACAACTTAAATTATTAAATAAGTATTTTAACCTATAAGGTAGAAATTGTTTGTAGATTTTTTAGTAAAAACATTGTGGAACTTTTAATTTCCACATTATTATTAATAATATTCCAATTAACTGAGTGCTTTAATTTGAAATCCATCCACACTTTTAATATTATTATTTTAAATAGGTTTTTTTTTTTTAATTTATTCCCAAAGCCAGTGTCGGGTTCAACTTGTTTTTGACCCAACAATTGGAATTTTATGCACCCATCAGTTTGGCGCTCGAGTTGCCCCTTTGTTGCGATTTCGGATTCAGTTTCCATTTCAGTTACAGCTTTTCGGAGAAATTAATTACAATTACCTTTGGCCCCGTTCGATTGCACTTACCGAGTGTTTTTGACATGGCCGCAAAGCATTTTCAGAGCGGAAGGTTTTTTTTTTATTGTTTGGCTGAGGAGGGGAGCCTCTATTTTCCAGCTGTTCAACTTTTCCCCGAAAACTTTGTGTGCGAAAGTGCCTGTCAATGGCAGAGAGAATGGGAAAAAGTTCGGGCACCGCACTACTCGAGCTTGCCACAAATCCGAGGCAAATTGAAACAGACGAAGGACCGAAGGCACCAAGGAACGAGTGGCCGCCTTCAAAGGGGACTTCTGAGTTCCGACTGCCGACGACTCCGGACATCCGACGACTCCTCGACTGTCGGAGTAGTTTCACCTGTCCCGCGCAGAAATTCCAAACAGGACTAAGTAACAAAAAGGCATCTTTGAACCAGGAATCTGGGAATCTGGGAGCCTGAAACCTTTATACCTGCTAACTGAAATCCAAAATCTGGGATCAGTCGCAACGGGCGATTAGCTTTTGGGACCATTTAATTGAATCGTTGGGCAGTCAAGCAGCCGGAAATCGTTCGAATCGAAGTCCGTAATTTATGCGCATATATTTCTGGGGCAACTTCCCTTTGCCTGTGGCGCAAATCGCTCACACAAAAATATGAGGCGAATCACGTATCGGCAAAAGGCAACGAAACTGTCAGCAATTAATTTGCCTAGTCGCGCCAAAGTGAATTAGCGCCAAATCTCTGGAGCGGGACAACCAGACAGCCAGACCGTCAGACCCTTGTCGCCATCAAAATACGAAATCCGAAATGAATCCATGCCACGCCCCCTTTTTACCCGCCCTAAGCCGTAAATCGCGCTGTCTGTCTCTAGCTTTGATTTTATCGGCGTGAGAAAATCAAAGCGCACTTTGAGGCTCATTCAGAAAAGGGAAAGGAAAAGCGGGGAATTTCTGAGGGGGTAGGAAACACCTTAAATATTCTAGGTTTACTAGGATTTTACTGACTTTTCCAGAAATGTTGCTTTCTAAATACTATATTATATTATTTATATATTCAAATTAGTACACAAAATAATTATACAAAGTTAAAATTTATGAAGCTCTTTCAAATACTTTGTACTTAAAAATCTATTAAATTCTCAAAGAACCCATTAAATCTTTGGATATAAAAAAAAAACTATTATTTTTTAAGCTAAGCTACTTTTAATGAAATTTTTAAACTGTAAACAATTCTTATTTTTTTCCCCTCCGTTCTTTTAATCATTTCCTCCTCTGTTTGCTTTCCTATAATTTTTTCTTGCAGTGCAGGGTTATCCGCGGCTCGAGGGCAGGTGCTCCAGATGGATGTGTAGTATGTGTATTGGGACGGCAGGGCATGCGTAAATTTAATTACACTTATGCTCATGGGCGAACTTTTGCTGGCAGGCAACTCGTGTCCCGATTTTTGAGAAGCTTCCACCTCAAGGCGACAGGAGCAGCCAGAGTTGGGTCTTTATTAAAAAGGGAATGCCGGTGATTGAGTTGCCAACTGACGGGGGAAGCTGTCCTCAAAAAATCATAATAATGTCGGAGCATGAATTTATAATATTTGCGTGTATATATTTATCGATTCGCAAGCTGCATTTCCCGGGAATTCAGCCTTGTTATTTGCGTTTCCAGTTGTAATTGGCAGACCTTTTGCCACACTATCTCTCCCTGTTCCTTTGCATATTTATATTTGTTATTTCTCCATTCCGTTTTCTTTTTTTTTATTTTTTATTTGTTGTATGCCGCTGTGTAGAAAGGTTTTCCCGTAGGCAATGCTCAGATAACGCTGCACAAAGCTTCAACTTCAATTTCGTCCAACAAAAGACTCGGGCGGGCAAACAAAGCAGCGTCAAAAAAGCGGGAGGGGAAGGGGGAGGGGGAAAGGAGGGGGCGGAACCCGGAGCAAACAATTACAGCCTTGAAATGTATATTCCAGCAAAGCCAGCTTTTCCCTCCATATTCCATATTTATTTTGTACATTTTTCGTTGCAACAAAAAACGGAACAAAATAAAATCATAAAAAAAAAATGGGAAACCAGCAGAGTAATAATTTGATTTTTGAACGTTCCGTCAGTAGTTCACTGTACACACAGTGCAGCGCCATTGTGCGAAACTACGTTCGAATTTAATACACTCGGTCGGATGGTAAAGCCATTGCGTATACGCCCCGGTATCAGTGGAAAAATAAAAACGCAAATCCAACGTTTTGGGAAAGGGGGAAAATATGTGAGATGGTTTCAACCAGTTTTTCGGGGTTGCTCATCAGCTTTGAGCTTAGGGCTTCAGCCGCGGCTCACGAGTTTTCCCTGGAAATTGAAAATACCCACACCCACACACCATCAGAAATACACACACACAGACACGTACAGTTACACACACAAAGGGAGCCATTGATTCGAATGCGGCTTAAGTGGCTGGTATTGTTTTTACATTAAAATATCATTAATTTTCATGCCTGGCTGTTTGCTGTGGCTCCATTTTCTTTCAGTTTTCCCAAGCACCCCTCTCCCCATTTTCCCATTCTCCCATTTCCCCTTCCCTCCTTCGCATTCGACACCCCGCGTCATAAGTGTATGTATAAAGCCATTAACACGAGGCGTGAAATGAGCGCATATGTATGCATGATGGGGCAGGACGAAAGGACGCAAGTTAGGCCGCCGCACTCAGAGGAACTCCTTTCGAAGGAGGCCTCAGGATATGGAAAAAGAAAATCCGAGGAAAACCTGAGGAGGTCCCATTGAATTGCTGCTGAAAATGGGGCCGAATTAAAGCTAGTTTTCAGTTGAAAGTTGCTTGGAAAATTGTACAAGAAAAATACTTTAAAGATCTTTTAAAGCCATAAAAATAATAAGTAAACGAGCTAGTTAAAAAAAACTTTTTATGCAAATCGAACAGAAGTATTCACTACGATTTGCTGATTAAAATGTACGTTGAAATAGGCTTTTATTTATGATAACCAATAATTTAAGCAAAAGTAAAAATGTTAAGGGCCTTAACATGAAATGCAAGGAAAGACTTAAAGCCAAAGACCTTCCCTTGGCTCTGTCTCCTGTAATTGTATTACACATCTTGGCCCCTAAGTGACTAATATAAGTTGCTGTCTAATCTGGTGAAAAACGACTTAAGCCAATTTCTAATGGAGCTGACCGAACAGCGTTCGCTGCTCCACTGGCCATTTCAAGTCGGTGCAAGTAAAAAAAAAAGGTGAAACGGAGAAGCTGAGAGCCTTTAAATGCCACACAGATAAGCTGACACACACATACACATACAGCGAAACGCACACGCACACATGCGCAAGTGAATTCTAGCTGAATAAGCGTGGCAACAGCCCATGGCTCAATAAAAAATCAAAAGGAATAAGTTGTTAATATTTTTTCGATTTGTTTTTCGCTTTCGCTGTGTGTTTTATTTTGTGTGCGTGTGCCGACTAAGCTGCCAATAATGACAAATACACACAGCCAGGATGAACAGGACCTCACAACGCACACCGACACACACACACCCACATACATATATAGCCGGCACAATTGGCTCTAAAGCTGTGCGACGTCTGAGTGCCTGGATACAGTGTCATGCGTGGGAGGTCCTCGTTTTTCCCCATCCAATGAGCCCTCTTTTATCGCCATCTCCTCGCCTGGCTTATACGCTCGGTTGCCTTCTCCCCTCTCCCCCTCTCCCCCTTTCCCCTTCCCCTTCTCCCCTTCCAACAAACATATGCACGCTCACACACACACACACATATGGCGCTTACCTGTCAATGTTGGCATTAAAATTTGCCTTTCGTATGACAACCCACGGGCAGAACATCCCAACCACTGGCTGAATGCACTCGGAAAAACTTAAAGACTCAGCTCTGGGGTGCTTTTTTCGTTTCAGAGACTTGGAAATAGCTTTCAGTGTTCCCTAAGGATTAATTGGAGTCATAGGTCAGAAGATCCCTATCTCGTTCTTGCCATTTATTATTTCATAATTACACCATTTATTTCTCACATTTTAAAATTACACCATTTATTTCGTACATCTGTTATCAACTCACCGATTTGTCATTCGTGGTGTGAAATTTCTGATGTTTAGTTTAAAATATGTAAACTTTACCTAATGCCAGTAATAAGAATATGAACAATACCTTAATATTACACCTGATTTTTTATTTGGTAAAAACTTTTCATAAACAGAAATCCATTAAAGGGTCCGCAGAGTTTCTAAAGAGATTATGGATTTTTAAAATATTTTTAACAGAATTATACGATGTGTTTTAAGTTAAAAAGATCCAGGATCTTGTTGTATTCCACGTAATAGGTATGAAAAGAAAAATTTAGCCCCTTTTTTTTTAATAGTTTTTCTTTGAAATATTTTTGTGGCATCCCCTGTGTTTTGTAAGACTCGATAGAACTCATAGACTGTCCCGTAAAAATATATTTTTTTTCTCGCTGTATGGTGACCCACCTTCAGTGGCCCGGAGTGAAACATGTTAACAACCGGGGTCAGGTGGTGCGTTGGGTGGTGGCTGGATTTCTGGGTACTTTACCGACAGCCTCGCATTTTGGACCACTCTTTGGCTCCCGCTTCCTGTTTTTCGTTCCTTTTTTTCTGTTTTTGTACCGAGGTCCTGGGGAGTGGTGTCTGTTTTTACGTTGACGCGATTTTCAACATGAGTTGAGGCGAATTGAATCAGCGGGGGTCT